ACTCCTCCCCCAGGCCCGCTGCCAGGATCTGTGGCAGGTCCCACCCTACCCCGTGTTCAGAGCTGGGCTCCGGACTGTCTGCCCTAGGCTGGGGACAAGTAACCACCAGGGAGTAAGAAACGCAAGGATGTGGAGAAACTGGATGCCGAGGCATTCCTGGAGGGGAGGTAAACCCACATGGTGGTTCCACACCAGTTAGAGGCAGGGCTGCTGCGTGACCCGGCATCCCACTCTAGATGTGTGCCAGAGAAGCCGAAGCAGGGACTGGAACAGGCGTGCATGCGCCCATCTCACTGCAGCAACAGCACAAGAGATGTCGTGGCAGCCCTAGTTCCGCGCACGAACGAATGGACAGGCGCGATGTGGCACACACAGTGGTGCATGGCTCGGGCTTAAAGAGCAATGAAGTACTGATGCATGACGACATGGGTGACCCTTGACATCACGCCAGGTGAGACAGGACAGTCACAGAGGGACATACGCTGCGTGACTACTTATACGAGGCGCCCAGAGTAGCCGGAAGCAGAGACAGGGAGCAGAATGGAGGTGGCCAGAGCTGGGGTGCACAGTGGGGGGTCGGGTTTAGTGGGGACAGAGACTCGCGGGGGAGACAGAAGTCCTGGTGGTGGATGGTGGCCATGGCTGCTTAACAGTATGAGGGTGCTTACTGCTACTGAACTGCACCCTGAAAAATGGTTAAAATGGCAAGTTGTAAAAACCACAATTAAAAAAAAAGGCCCTCCTGTAATGGAACAACTGTAGCCCTGGGTGGGCGGGTCCTCCCGAGCAAAACCCAAACCACAGGAAAGCGGCCCTTCCTGGGCAGCCACCCCAGGGACCCTCCTAGTGGCTGGGTGACGAGTTACAGCGTCCCCAGCGTGGGGGTGGAGTGCCCTGGCTCTCCCTGGGAAGGATGGGGCGGGGCCGAGGAGGAGAACCAGGGGGCCCCGCTCGGCCTCCCGGGGGCTGCAACACCCAAGCCTGGCCTGGGACCCCGTCTCTGTTACCTGGTCAGACCGAAAAGGGGCTCATAAGTACCCACCTCCCCCTGGGGACAGGGGCGCCCGGGCTCCTCCCGCCCTCTGCATACACCCCAACCCTGCGCGGAGGAGGCTGCACACCCTATAGCCGCAGTGGCGCTCTGCCCCCCGCCCCTCCCCGCAGTGAACAAGCATCTCCTAGCGGCTCTGGGCCCCTGGGCCGGCCCCTCCCAGGGCTCTCTGCTCACCGCGAGGTCAGCACCACACAGATCCCAAGTTCAATCTGACCTCAAACTCGTCCCGAGGGTGGACAGATTGGACAGCGGGCAGTGCCCTCTCCTCTGGGACCCGCCCCGGGCACCTGGCCCCCAGGTGAGGCAGAGAGAGCAGCACGGGCCCCATTCTACAGGTGAGGACGCCGAGGCACGGGCAGGGCATGCTCGCCGAGGTCACGGGCGCTGAGGAGCACAGTGGAGCCGGGGTGGGGCTCTGTCTCTGGAGGCGATGGCGTCCTCTCAGCCCCTGGCCGGCTCCCAGCCCCGCACACACTGCCCAGCTGCCCAGGGGGGCCGGGGGACTCTGGGTAGGTGGAGAAATGTGGTTTGTAGCAGCACAAAACCAGTCCCTGCCGGGCGCCTCCCCCCCACAGCCTTTTCCCTGGAGGCACAGGCCACAGCAGCAGGGGTGCCAGGCTCTGACCTTGGTGACCGCCGGGCTCTCCCTCCTCCCGCACCTTTTGCAAATAGGCGATTTCTCCAGGGACCCCATTCCCACAGCCAGAACCGCAGGCCTAACACACGCATGCGCTGAGGGCAGGGCTAGTGTGGACAAGGTCATGGGAAGGCTCCCGGGTGGCAAAGCCAGGGCCCAGGCCCCCATTTGGCTGGGCCAGGACCCACACAGAGCTCCCCCAAGCTCAGCTACCTGGGTGGCAGCTGGGGACCATACAATGGAGACTGCACTCCCCTCCCCTGGGTGCCCGCAGCCTGAGGACATAGGCCCCTCCCCCAAGACTGGTGGGGCTGGGACAGACGGGAGCAGACGGAGGGCCACCGGCTGCTCCAAACCAACCTCCCTGCAGGGCCCTTCCCGTCAGTGGCCCCTCGCCCCACACCCCGGTGCACCCGAGGGGGCTGCGGGTGAGGCCTGCGTGTGTGTCCGCTGAGGCACTGTGCTCCTGGGGGTGTCTCTGGGGCTCTGGCTCGGCAGTCACACAGTGGCTGTGGCTGGAGGTCTACTGTCCCCTCCCCCAGGCCTGTCCCCAGCCCCGTCCTCTTCCCCCAGTGAGGGACCCGGACCCAGCTGTCCGGCAGCCTGTTTATAATTCTTCTCTTCAGACAGGCCCGAAGAACAACGGGGGATGCAGGACCAGTGGCCCCCTCAGGTGCCCTTACGGTCACTCCCAAGGCCAGGGACGAGCCTGGGGTGGCGGCTGCTGACCAGCTCTGCCCTCCAAAGCACCCCTGCCCCTTCCCTGAGATGAGGGTCCTCTTCTGTGGAGGCATGACCGTCGTGTCTGGATGTGAGGGGGACAGCCGCGGTGGCAGACACAGGGAGCCCTTAGTGTGCCCGCTCCTCACGCCCGCCTGAGAAAGGACAGAGAATCGGTCACCGCCACCGGCAGGGCAGGACGGAGGAAGGGAGCCCCAGGCCCAGCTGCCCGAGGAGTCTGGTCCCACCCCTGGGCCTCCCACACCTCCCCTCTGAGCCGCAGGGGACCCGGGGGCCATGTGCCTGGTCCGGCTGCCCCTATCTGCTTCAGCCAGGATGGCAGATCCTCATGGAAGCCACGTCCTGTGGCCAGGGCCGGCTCTGAGGGGGCAGGTGGGGAAGGGGCCCAGCTGGGGGTGGGAGATGGTCCAGCCCCTACAGCGCCCAGCAGGAAGGTATTTCCACAGGAGGTAACGCCCCAAAGGGCCCACTGCTTGCGAGGAAGACGGAACGCATGTCCCATACCATGGCTTACCTGATCGGTGGCTCCACGCCTGCCCGGCAGGGCCCACTCCTCACAGGTGACATCCAAACCTCCATAGTGCCCCGGGGCCCCCTCCCAGGACCCCGTGCCACCTCGGGCTCCTGGAAAAGCCCATCCTCCAAGCAGCCATGTCACCCTCCGCCACAGGCAGGCAGCACGGTGGGTCAGAACCCCGGGCCAGTGATGCCTGGCTCTGCCCCCTAGGCAGGGAGCCTGCAAGCTCCTGGTCACTGGTGGCAGTGGGGGGGTTAATAGGAAACCCTGGGGTCACAGGCCTGCGTGTGAGCCCCAGCTCTGCCCTGTTCAACCCTGAGTGACAAGCACGTAGTGGTGAGCACGTAGCATGGGCTGCTCACCTGCAAAGCAGGGCCCCCAACAGTGAGGCAAGAACGCCTGACACTGAGCGAGGGTGGCACGTGGTCAGGGCCACCCTGCTTCCAGGCTGTGCCCTTTGGGCAAGACCACCTGCTCGTCTGGCTACTCAGCCCAGTGCATGGCCTGTAAGTGGGGGGGCAGGGGGAGCACAAGGCAGCACCTCGCCCCTTTAGCTGTGGTCTGGCTGGGCTTCCTCCTGCTCTTGCGAAGCTTCCCCCGGAGAGACTGTGAACCAGAATCGCAGAGAAAGCGCCATGCCAACCCCAAAGCCTGTTCTTACTGCTCCAAGATGACACCCCCAAACTGCCTCTTGCCAAGGGGATTCTGATGCAAAACCCTGATACTTGCAGGTCATTTCCCAAGGGCCCCAATGCTCCAGGGAGGCACCCACTTACAAAGTGCTTTAAAGGGGCTCAGACAGGAGGTGCTCTCGAGTGCCCACATTCATTCCTGGGGCCCTGCGAGCCCGGGGCGGTGGGGGCTAATGGATGGTGATTTATGGGTCACTTCTCCCAGGCCTGGGTGGGATGTGGTCCAGGAGCAAACGCTTAAGCATGCAGCTGGAGCCATGTGGGGCAGGGGGGTGGAATACGTTCAAAGGCTGCTGGGACCATGAGGGTGTCCATGCTCCTCTGGGGGTTGTACAGGAAGTGTGGCCAGAGGAGGGCCACGCAGGGCCAGCCTGGGGGTGCTGCAGACAGGTCCAGGCTGGGGGCACAGAAGTGGCATCTGGCTCCTCGGCCAGGCTGGGGACACAGGCAGGCCTTGCTCTGGGACGGCCCTCTCCAGACCCCAAGGGGTGGGGGAGGGTCCCCTGACGTCTGAGCAGGAGTCCCAGGCTCTGGCTTGCTGCAGGGCCCTTCCCTCCAGCCATCTCCCAGGCACCTCAGCACACTGGGCTGACGGGTGTGGGAGCTGCACAGGACCTCCTGCTAGTCTGGTCTTCTGGGAGCTGCTGAGGATCCCAAGGGGGGCCCGGGAGGATGGCTGGTCAGCTGGCCATGTGCCCACCCATTCAGTCTTCTGGGCCTCTGGCTGAGTGCCCACAAGGGGGTCCCGGAGGGTTCAGAGGTCAGCAGGTACATTCCCCTGCATCCCCCGCACGCACTCCGGGAGGGTGGAGGGGCACCTCGCTCACCCGTCTCCTACCAGGGCAGGTGCCAGCAGACCAGACGCGGTGTGGAAGGGCAGCTGGGGGAGGTGCCTGGCAAGCACATCGGCCAGAGCACTTCATGCCAGGACACAGAGGCCAACCACCCCTCAAGGGAGAATCGGCCTGAGCAGGTGCAAGGAGACCTCATTGGCTGGCAGCCACAGAACAGGACACCCGCATCTCCTTCACGGGGAACACGCAGCAAGGCCGCAGCAGCTCTACTGCCTGGCAAACGCGGCGTGTCCCAGGCCCAGGGCGGTGCCCGGGTCAGCCTCAGGGGTGGTGGCTGTGGGGTGGGGGAGGACTGGTCACCTCCAGTACAGCTGGGGATGGACCTCCCACCCTCCGACCCACTCTGGGAGACACTGGGGGAAGGGTGGACGTGCTCGGCCACCGCCCCCCTGGTCTGTGAAACACCCCTGCCTCCCGTTGGCTCTCAGAGCAAAGCACAGGAAAGGCCGAGTGCGGCGGCAAGCCCAGAAGCAACCCCCCAACGCGCCCCCTTTCCTCCCCTCACCTCTGGCTCCTCTTGGATGGCTCACACTGTCCACCAGGCATGTCCCTGCATCTGGGCATCTGGGCCATCAGCTTGGGGCAGGGGCTTCTTGGAGATCCGGGGGCGAATGTGGCAGAGCCTTACCGGGTGGGCATGGATGGGAAGCAACAGGGTGGCCCCCAGTGCCACAGCCTGGAGTGAGCAGATCCCTTTGGCCAAAACATGGCATGCCCCAGGTCATGCTGGAAGGCTAGGAACACCTGGCGGATGCCCCAGATAGCGGGACCCTTGCTGCCTAGACTTGGGCTGCTGTGAGAAGAGCAAGCGCCTTGCTGGCCCTCGAGCTGATCAAGTGAGAGTGGGCACAGGAGCCCAGCTGCTAGCTTTCTCTGAGGGCACTCCCCTGTCTCTGGAGAGAGAACACATTGTAGCCTTTTCTAAAAATGAGGCCCCAGCAACAGGCAACCACTACAAATACCCACCTATGAGGCAGGTGCCACCAGTGTGCCCACTTTACAGATGGGGAAATGGAGGCATAGAAGTCATAGAGTTTGTGATGGCAAAACTGGCATCTGACCCGGCAGGTCTGGCTCCAAGCCCGGCCCGGGGCCCTGCACTTCTCCGCTACTGCCCCAGGGTTCCCGCCCGCTGCTCCCCCTGGGCGGGCCTCAGTGCTGCGGGGCAGCCCAGGGCCTCCTGTGGCGGGCGGGTGGCTCACAGAGCCGTTTACCTGCAGGCTCTGGCCTGTCCTCAGCAGCCCTCCCGCCAAGGCAGGCAGGGAAAGGGGGCTCTGGTTGTTCCGAGTGCGCCAGGTGCGGGGCGGGCCAGAGCCGCAGCCAGACTGGTCTGACCTGGTGCACTGGGCTGAGCCTGACTCCTGGAGGGACCTCGGCTGCAGGGGTGGGCGGTCTCTAGAGGCACCAGGGTTCCAGCTGCGGCCATGACTGTGGGGAGGTCCCCACACCACTGACCCCGTTCAACTCTATAGCTTTACAGACGATTAACTCTAGAGTTTTGGTCTCTCTAGTTAAAATCTTTCTAGACAACTACTGACTCGCCCTGGTTCCTGTTAAGGGGCCTCTTACTGGTTCCCTATGTAAACAAACTCACGCGTGGCCCCCACCGACGGGCCCTGCCCTACACCCCGTGCACCAGGCCCTGTTCCCCACCATCACTGCCAGCCTCATGGGGGCTTGGAAGCTGTTTCACAGATAAGACCTGGGGCCCACTCCTGCGCAGCAAGGTCTGCGCTCCGCTCTTGGGCTGCAGAATTCTAAGAGGATACGAGTGGCCACAGCTCCAGCAAGATCCGGTCACCACCGGGGGCTGGGGGACACGAGGCCACAGGGTGACAGGTCACTGGCTCCTCTGCAGAACCGAATGGCAAATCCCACAGCCCTATTTAGAGGTAGGGAAACAGAGGCTCCAAGAGATGTCTCCCTGTGCCCAGGGGACCTGCCGGCTCCAGACACAAGGTGAGAGACGCTGCCCTGGGGGCTCCTCCGTCCTCCTCTGCTTCACAGCCGGGCCTGCTGAGGCCCAGAGCTGCTGCCTGGAGGGAACCCAAGGGCCGCCCCCACACTGCAGCCCTCCCCGGGGGCCTCAGAGCCCTGTTTACACAGAGAGGGGGCCACGAGCTCCTGCGGTGGCCCGTGGAACTCAGGGCATCCGTCCCCAAGTCCCCACAGGGGTGAGGTGAGGCCCCAGACCCAGCATGCCTGGCTGAGTGAACGGATAGTCCAACCACCCGTGGGTCACCCTGGATGGAGTGGGGGGGTGGGGGGAACCTCTCAGCAGCCAGCCACCCTGGATGGAGCCCGAGAGGGGCGCAGGCAGGAGGGTGTGCACACTCAGGACTCCGGGTACCTGCGGAGCTGGCCAGCTGTCTGCAGGGCCAGCCGGTGGCCATGGGAGAGGAAGGCTACTTTCTGCTCCTCATCGAGGAAAACAGGCCCCAGGCCCACACCGGAGCTGGGGAGGGATGCGCTCATCTCCAGTAGCTAGACGTGCCCCCTTAGGCAGCCGGGCTGACCCTGATGTCCTCAGTGTGCTCCCAGGATGGACAGCCTGGGACCTACATATTAACGCTCTGCTGTGGGTATGCGCATGCTTGCGGAGTTGCACGCTTCAAAATAACAGGCCCTGGAAGCTGGGGACTTGGGACAACGCCACCCCAGGAAGCAGGCATCCGACCCAGGAAGGAGCAGAGAGATCAGAGATCTAGTCCCACAGCTGGGAGTGCCAGGCTCGCATTCAGGGGCAAACTGGACACCGACACCTGGCCTCTGCCTGCCCCCCCAGGACAGCCCTTTCCTACCCATGCGGACCCTCCTCGCAGCCCTCTTCTGCTCCCATTTGTCCGTGGCCGGCTCTGGGTCTCAGCTGCGTCCGAAGCCTAACTGGGTCCAGGGGCTGCTTCCTCCCGTCTGTGCTCCTAATTCATTCTGCAAACGCTGGGTCTGCGTGGCTTTTCCCACCCCGTCAGATGCTGCAGCTTGTATGTTCTGTTGTGAACACTCACGTGCCTGTCTGTGTGGCTGAGGCTGCACCTCGCCTCCTGGGGCCCCGGCCAAGTTTAGGACTTCTTTTCTGCATAATATCCCTACAAAAATCCACCAAACAGCCAAAATTTAGCAGGAAGAGAACGAGCCGACAGTTTTGGGACAGGCAAGAACAAGAGGAAGGCCTTGAGGACACGTCTCCACACCGTGAGTTCTGGCGAGGGGGCCGAGGTACAGGCCCCACAGGGGAAGGCTGCTGCCCACAAACGTCCGCTGGTGAGAAGCGCCCAGAAATCGTCTTGTCAGGAGACGGGCCGAGCACCCTCCCCCACAGACCAGCTGAATCACATCCTGGCTGGAATTACACAACCCTCCCCAGCGGCTAGGCGGCAGGTCAGTGGCTGGAGGCCCTCAGGACCACCTGGGGGCCTGCCCACAAAGGACAGGCGGCAGGTGGCACTGGACGCTGTGCTGGAAGCCCCCGAGTGCCTGCAGGGCCGGTCCAGCCCAGCAATATGGACGCTGTGCACAGACCTCGCTGGCGCTGCCTGGCCGGAGCCAAGAGGGCCTGATTCCTGTCTTGCTGCGACTTCGGCAGAAACTGCCTGTGTCTGCCCAGGGCCTTGGGCGCCCACGTGTTCTGAGCCTGGCTGGCCTGGCTCCACAGCTGGCTACTGTTCTCAGCACGAGGTCTTCCCAGTGGGGCTGGGGGCCTAGGGGGTGCACATATGTCTGAATGCAGCTCCTGTCTCCAGGCTAAGGGGCTCTGCAGGTTCTTCAACTTTTCTGGGCCTTGTACTTGTGTGGAAAATGGGGACAGTCACCACACACTTGCCACGTGGGGGGTGGGGCCTGACAAGATAACCCATTCCAGGTACTCAACAAGCGCTCAGGACCCACCGAGTGCTGCCAGCCTCCCACCGGCAGCTTTTGCCCCCTCAGACCCGGCCCCATGGCCTCTCACCCACTTTCAGACTCCAGATGCAGAAAGCTGCACCCGCCCTCTGAGCAGTGGTGAAAGGCAGACACCTATGGCCAGAAAGCAGGCATCTGGGGTGGCTGGGCACGGTGACGGGCCACCTCTGAGGGTGCACCTGTCAGATGGAACTCTTAGGTAACAATCACAGATAGATACGTTTCGCTGATTAACGAAAGTAAACTTTTAAGCCCACAATATTGAACCAATGAGGGCACTGCTGAGACGGTGCACCAATACGACACATAGGTGGTGACGGAGTAAGCAGAGGCTTTGTAGGCAGTAACGGCATGGTTAGGTGAAGCACTCAAACGTTCACCCGTTCAACTCAGAAGCTCCACGGCCAGGAATCCCCAGGGAAGTCAGTGCTATGCCAAACACTTACATCTGAGGATGTCCATTGCAGCACTGCCCACAGGAGCCAGGAGTGGAAAATCTGCACATTCGACAGAGGCAGCCAGTGGCGGCGGCCAGAGGAGGGGTCCACGGCCACTAAAACATTATGCTTTCAGTGACATGGGAACACTCGTGAAGAGTTTAGGTTATGATTTCAACTATAGTAAAAAAAATATAGTGTGTAGAACGGTGACTTTTCTATACTTTTCTCCCAATTATTTACCACAGCCATTCCTTCACAACAACAAAAGAAAGGGGGGATGTGCAGGAAAGATGCAGAGACCCTTAAGAATGACAAAGCCAGCCCCCTCCCCCACCTGCCCCTTCCCCAGGGCAGCAGCCAGAGCCCAGACCTCCCACCAAGAACCCCGAGGCAGTGGGGCTTCGGAGCAGCGCTGGGTCCCCCTGGGAAAGGCCCGGAGCCACTGGGAGGAGCCGCCCTGGACCTTAGCTGGCCTGCCAAGTGCAGCTCCCACCTCTGGGCACCGCTCAGGGCTTACAAGCACAGGGACCAGGACAGGAAGCTTCAACCATCACGAGTCACACAGCACAAGCCCACCAGGCATAGCACCATGGAAAGTAAGCCATTCCCACGTTTGCCTTACTCCTGCATTTGTTTAAAAAAGAAAAATCTTTTTGGTTTTGTTTTGAATGAAAATCTAATTCTGAATGTTTCGACCTCTGATTCCCTTTGTCTCAACCCAAGGCTTGTGTAGGTGATCAGGCCCGGTGTCACCCCACCCAGGGCCCTTCGGAGGCTGGGCTTGGTTCAATGGTCCCAGTCACATGCTCTGGGTACATCCGTCCCCTGCAGGCGAAACGGGTGTTATCCCCTAGCCGTGTAAGAAAGTGGCTGCGAAGGTGGAGACTGTCCAGTGCCGTGGGAAAGGTTGCAGAAATACTCCCATCTAAAGCCTGCCCCAACTTGGCCAGACCCACTGAGGAGCCCCCAGTGTCCCTGGGAGCAGCCCCGAACTGAACCAAGGCTGACTCCTTGAACTTGACTGGCCAAAGGACATGCCAGGGGAAGGGCGGGCTGAGCAGCTCCCAGAGAAGCTGCAGGCCAAGAGGGGATTGCTGCCAACATGTGGGCAGCACCCACTCAGCATCTAGTCAGTGCTGACAGCCATGGACACACAGGACGGCAGACGGAGGACAGCCCACGGCGCCTAAGGCAACAGGGTGCCAGGGAAGGCTTCCTGGAGGAAGAGGCAGCAGAGCGGAGGCTGCAGGGAAAGGAGGTGCCAGCAGAGCAGTGGGAGGAGAGGAAGGCATGTGGGCAGAGGAGGGACCAGTCCTGGCTGAGGTCACCAACACCCTTCTGGAACCAGAGGACTCTGGGACGGTGAAGGAAGCTTGTGCGCCCAGAGATGGGGCTGCAGGGCCAAGAGGGCACACACTGGTGCCCCTAGGGCTCCCGGGTCTGTGCCTCCTGCACAGAAGCACAGTCCTGTAGGGCAACGTCACAGATGCTGGGAGCCCCCCAGGTGCCTCTGGGGGTCCTGCTGCAGAGAGACCGTGTCTGAGCCCAGGACCCCATGAAGGTGGCCTGAAAGCCACACTTGGGTCTCAAATGCCCCGATGGCCCCAAATGAAGCCTACACGATTTCAGGGACATTTCTGGAGACCAGGAATTTCAGGCAAGGCCCTGACTGTGTCTCCTCTTCTGTTTCCTTCAGGCACATGGGAAGAGGAAGGAGCACCATCTGACCTCACAAGGTGACGTGGGGGTGTGGCGCCGAGACACTCTAACCACAGTGGCCTTTGGCAGCCACTGGGGGCATGTTGGCCCCTAGGGCCAGTCCTTCCTGGGGGGGATCCTGGCTGATGCCAGCAGGTGAGGCCCCTCAGCAGACGCAAGATGAAGGGGGTCCTACCAATGCCCTGCTCACATGCCTGCTCCTCTCCTCCAGGCCAGAAAGCCCGGACGGCTGCTAGGAGTCCCACGCCACCCCACCAAGGTCCTGCAAACCCGTCCACCTCCTCACCTTGAGGGCCGTCACCTTAACACATGCCAAGCTCAGAACCCAGGCCTTGGGTTGCCAGCTCTGAGGACCCCCGCTTCCCTGCACCACGAGGCCCACCTCTCCTAAGCCCCAAATACTGCAGACACTGGCCTCGGGAGCTGGGGCAGCTGGGAGGGGAGCTTGTGTCTGAGCCCTCACAGCGTACTTGGCCCTGGGGATGGACAGGAGGAGGAAGGGTCTTTGCCCCAGGTTCAGACCCCAGAGCGCCCCTTCAGGGCAGCTCTCAGAGCTCGGCCCACCCCTCCTCAATCACCATCCAGGGGGTCACTCCAACACCCACAGGGCACATGCAAGGTGACATGAGGCTCCTAAAGCAGGTACCACCCAGCACCAGGCATCCCCTAGGGATCACCCCTCCGGAGAGGTGCTGGTCCCTGGGCAGACAACTGCATCCCGGCCTCCACAGTGCCCCAGCCTGGCACCAGACTGGCATCAGGAGGTGCACTTTAGGGCAGACGGGCACGAAAACGCACAAAGCCGAGATTACCCAGGCCTCCCGGAAAGCTCATTAAAAAAGCAATCTACCTAGTGCCCAGAACAGAAACGAAGGGGGGAGGACGTGCAGCTCTGTCCCCTGCCTGGTGGTACAGCCCACTGCCAGAGGGGTCCGCGTAGGGAGGGCTTCCTGGGGACCCCGGCCACCCCTCCCCCACCTGGCCCCTGTGCTGCTGACCTCAGCAACTCCAGGCTCAAGAGCTGGCAGCCTGCACTGTGAGAGGCACTGGCCGACCAGGCATGGCATTTTCCGTTCTTGCTACACACACCTGCCTCGGGGAAGGGGCACTGAGGCCTCCCTCACACAGCACCTGGGGACCCCACCCGCTCCACCCGATCCTGCCTTAGAGTGGCCGGGCCTCCTGCTCAGGCAGACAAACTCTGGAGAAGGGAGGCCGGGGGCGTTTTATCCTGGTGACCCAAAGAGAAGATCAGCCTCAGGAAAGGGGCTGAAGGAAGAACGACCAAGGCCCCCCGAGCTGGGCGGCTTCCCAGCAGGCTCTGCACGTTCCCTTCCCGGCTCTACTGAGCCGATGCCCTCTGGTAGACAGGAGGATGCCTACCCCCGTCTCTGCTCCCGCAGGCAGGGAGTTGCCCACCTGGGCCTGGTCTGGGGTCCTACAGCCCTGTAGGGCAGGTCCTGCGAATGCCCAGACCCTGCTCGGTCCAGCACAGAGTGAATGGACCGCGGAGGGCCCCGGGGCAAGGGGGATGTGTGCCGCACCAGGGAGGCGCATCCGTGGGAGCAGGCCAGATGCGGGCAGGAGGCAAGCGTTCAGCGCTCCGGACAGGCAGATCCGTAACTGCTGTGGCCTTGAGGGACCCAGAACACCACTTCTCTGGCTGCAAGCTGCGTCGTGGGGGTGGGGGGGCCGGCAGCCAAGGGAAAGACCACAGGAAAAGGACGGAGGGCTGGACAGGAGAGCACCACCAAGGACCATGCTCAGCTTTGGACTGGCTGGACACCCAACTTTCATCACCAAACATACCAGCGACCCTGCACGTTCCTGACCCTAAAGGGTGCCACAGAAAGCCACCACTCGTGTCACACAAGCTCCCCCACCCCGCCTGTAAACGTGGTCCTAAGGCAGATAGAGAAGATAAACAAAAGGCAGGCAGGAAAACCTCAGTTTTCCTGGACACCCAGGGAGACGGCCCCACAGGGCACCAGGAGGAAGAGTGCCAACTTCGATCCCTTAAAATACAGCACTGCCCTAGCGTCCTGGCTACAAGGTGCTGCCCAGGAGGGCCGGCCCTCGTGCAGGTGAGCCCTGTGTCCCCAAACTCCACAGAAATGGGAGAAGCCCAGGGAAGGGGTCTGGTTGCATGGGGCCCCCCACCAGCTCAGCTACCTGCAACCTGGCTAGTGACCTGCCTGTACCTCCTTCAGAGCGAGCTTGTACCCGGTTCCGGTCCATCCTGGGAGCGCAGACAGGCAGCACAGCCTCCTCCCCGCCCCCACCCAGGTCACACTCGGGCCTTTGTTCTACCTGCACACACCGGCAGGCAGGGCCAGCCCCCTTCCCCGGCAGCTCCTCCCCACCTCGGAAGACAGGCGGGCGGGTGGGGGCCTCCCGGGGCAGGGGGAGACACTTCCCTTGTCTCATCTCCACTTCTGGTGTCAGAGCGGTGCAGGACGCGAACACTCCAGGTGGGCTACACACAATCAGGGACCCACCTTCCCGCTCCACGACCCAAGGCCAGGTTGGATCTACAGCTGGGGCGGCCCGCGGCTCACCGCAGACGGCACCCCGAGGGCACTAGCTGCTGTCCCGGGGAGCCTGGGTGCCGCCGGCCTGGCGGGTGGTGGGGAAAAGTGGAGGCGAGCAGAAGAGGAGATGAAGGCGAGATGCACGAGCAGGGGTGAGGGCGGGCCGCGGCGGACGAACCGGGGCCGGGAGCCCGGCAGGTAGGGAGGGGGTGCAGCGGAGATGCGGCGCGCGGGGCTCCAGGAAGGCAGGGGCGGGGCGGGACCGGGGAGCCCCGCAGCCCCAGGCGCTCACCTGGGCGTCCGCAGCGTGGCGGGGTCGCGGCGGTCCAGCACGCCGGGCACGCAGTTGGTGAGCTCGGTCCAGTCGGCGTGCAGCCCGCAGCTCCAGCCCGTGGAAAAGCGGGAGAAGAGCCAGGTCTCGCGGCGGTTGGGCCGGTAGCAGGTGCACTTCTTCTGGCCGGGCCGGCAGTCGCAGGGCACCTCGAGGCGTACGTTCTGCACGAGGTGGCGGCCGAAGGTGGTGCCGCCAGTCTTCTGGATGTGCAGGAAGACGATCACGTCGTCGCCCTTCATGTCGAAGCGCAGCGAGCGCTCCAGTTCGCGCACCGGGAAGTAGTACTTCTTCTCGTAGTGCGGGTCTGGCGTGGGGAAAAGGTCCAGGTCGTCGGGCGGCGCGCGGCCGCCGGGCGCTCCCAGGCTCAGCCCCGGGCCCGCGTACTGGTACAGGATGAGCATGAAGCACGCCGAGCCCGCCACCACCAGCACGAACTTGCTGGCGCGCTCAACCATGGTCCTGCCGCCGGCGCGCCGCCGCCGCATGTGTCACCATCGCCGGCGGCCCGGGCGCGGGGCGCGGGGCCTGCGAGGGCGGGGGCACAGCTGCCTCCGCCGCCGCTGCCGCCGCCGCAGCCCGGGCTCCGGCCCGGCCCGGCTACTCGGCGCCCAGGCCGCCCGCACTGGCGCGGGCCGCGGTCCCGCGCGGCGCCATGCCTGCTCCCCGCCCGGCCGCGGCTCCCCGGGCTCGGCTCCGGCTCGGCTGTGGCCCCGGCCCGGCCCGCGCCCCCCGCGGCCCGCTGCCCGCCGCCCAGCTCCGCGCCGAGAACGCTCTGCACCGCCCCGCGCGCCGCCGCGTCTCCGCAGTCCGCCGCCGCCCCGCCCCGGCCCGCCCCCGGCCCGCCCCCGTGGCGCCTCTTGCGGTCGCCGCCCGCGCCGATCCTCGGCTCCGCCCCGAGGGCGCGCGGGCTGCAGCCGGGGCTGGGCTAGGGGCCGGGGTTGCGGGTGGAGCCGCGCGGCAGCGGGCCGGCAGCCGCGGGTCGGGAGCTGGTTCCGGCCCGCGGGGGCGTGGGGAACGGCCGCGAGACGTTGGAGGCAGCCGGACCGCGGCGCGCAGTGGCGGGCCCTGCGGGCTTGCGCCCCTCCCCGGTCCCGGCTGCGGTGGCGCACCCCCACCCTTCCCGGGAGGAGAGGCGTTGACCTTGTACGCCGGGCGCTCTGAAGTTCCAAAAGCCTGCGGGCCGGGCTTGGGGGGACGTGCGGGCGGTGGGGCCGGGAGCACCGCGCAGGCGGGGCAGCAGCGTTGGGGGCGTGGAAGGGGCCGCGGCCGTGCTCGGAGCCCCCACGCCCCCGTGGCCCTGGGACAGTGACCCAGAGCCCCCCTTCGAGAGATGCTGAAGGGCTGCAGATGCCTTCGGCCTGCTTGTGCCGGCTTATGCAGTCCCTCCTGATTTGAACGGAATTTCGGTCAATGTGCATTTTTTTCTCCATGTTTATCATAACCCCAATGAAAAACTTACAGAAAGTTGAACCGGTATTTAAAATTGTGAAGGTCGAGAAAAAATTACAACCCCCGGCTTTGGTGGGTCGGCCGGGGTGTCTGGTGGCCCTGGAGGCCGTCCGTCTGCCCGCGCGCCCGGGGCCTGTCCCCGCCTGCCAGCTTGGGCGGTGTGCCCTCGGCCCGGCCTGTGGGGCAGGCCCTGTCCCGGAACCCACGCAACCCGGCCTGAGCGCGCCCAGAGGCGTGGCGCCTCCGCGGGGCAGGAGGTGGGCTGGGTTCGCCTCGGTGACAGCTGGGGAGGGCGTAGGGATTCGACTCAGGCCAGAGGGGCTGGGGAGCCAGTCCCGCTGTCAGGCCTGGGTTCAGGTGCCCACATCACCCACTGCCAGGGGCTCCCCCGCTTTCCTTCTGTTGGGGGTCCTGAAAGCATGGGGGCAGGCGGACTGTGAGGGTTTATTGTGTCAATTATTACCTCAGTAAAACTTAAAAATATATAAAATCACACCAGAAAGCCTTCCCGGAAGCCAGCCTGGAGAACTGGAAAAACAAGTGCTGACGGCCCAAAACCAGCTAAGAAGGGAGCGTGAGCTTTTCAGAAGGCGCTGAAGGAATGTCCAGTCTGGACAGGTGAGTGCAGCTACCAGAACACAACACTAGCTGCGGGGGGCGGGGGTGGGCCTGGGAGTGCCTCCTGCTGGGACCTAGGGCCCCAAGCCCCTTCCATCCTGTGGCTAATTTGTCCCTGGTCTCGGTAGGCCTTGGGGGCAGCTTGGTCAGACTTCCCCGGCGGTGATTCATTCTCCCCAGGAGTGGGGGGCTGACACAGGTGGGGGCATAACCGTGGGGTTCCTGGAGCTGTGGCCGCCTGACCCCTTTTCCTGCTGCGGCCTGGAGTCTTTCTTCGTGGGCCTGGAGGCAGCAGCCCAGACTTGGAGGCAGAGCTGCCCTGGGTCAGCCCACCGGGCCTCCTTGCCCAGACGGCAACCCTCTGCTAGTGGTGAATCATCCTTGAGCCTGCCCTTCAGCCAGAACCGCTGGGTACTACGCATGTGTCACTTCCAGTGCTGTCAGCAAGCCTGCAGAGTAGACTGTTCTCTAGGAAATAGGTTCAGAGGGCTGAGGACCCTGGCCCTGGCTGGTGGCCTCCTCTTCCCCACCCAGCAGAGCAGGGTGGATGAGGCCTACAAATGCCTCTCCCACGGGCACTCTGTCGCCTCTGCTCTGGGTGCGGGCCCCACATGGATACCACAGCACCCTCCAGGGCCCAGCAAGCTCCTCTCACTCCAAGGGCTCCAGGGCCTGGCCCTTACTCACCCCAGCACTCAGCTCCCCCAGGCCAGGGCCAAGGCTGGGCGGGCCACATTGCCAGATAGAAATGTGGGTCAGAGAAAGCTGGTGTGCCACTGAAAGTCCTCCACAACCACCTGTGCTTGGCCTGTGGTCCCATCTTGTGACACTCTTACAGCCCTATGGGGAAACTGAGACCTAATGAGGGGAGAGGGGTCTCGCCCAGGGTCCCCTGTGGGTGGCTGCCTCTCCCCGTGAGCTGTGATGGGAGCTAGAGCAGCCTGACCCATGGATAAACGGCTACCCCAGAGAAGCTATTTAATGCAGTGTTGTGTCCCCCAGAAGGGCTTTGTACCCCTCGTTTAGCCAGAAAGCTCTTTCTAGAATTCTCTTTGGAGGAAGAAAATCTTCCCAAATGGTGACAGGATTGTACTCAGTTTTCCCCTTTGATTTAAGCGCTGCACAGGCACCGTGGGCCCCCAAGGCCATAGGTGAGTTTCTCCTGCCTCAAAGTCAAGTCAGATGGGCCACTAGAGTCCAGCTGGTTCAGGGAATCAGTAGGCATTTGGGGGCAGTGTGCAATGCAGACCCCCACCCCTCACTGACTGGGCAGCTTCTGCAGCCTACTCCCTGTGCGGAGCCTTCAGGGCCATCTCCCGAGAAACGGGCAGAAACACACGCATGAAGGGCAGTGTGGATTTCAAGCAGCCTGACGGTACGGCCGGGAGGCTGGCACTGCGGGGGTCCTCGGCGCCTGCTCCTCCCACCCCGTCTGCAGGGCGGCCCCGGCGTCTCCGCAGTCCTGAGACTGTGTGTGAGCAGGAGGAGGGCTAATGGTTCGCTGGAGGCAGCGCCCGGCCCCGAGTGTTTTCAGAGCCCAGGAACGGGCAACCTCAGCTACTTCTGCTCGGCTACTGTCTGTTCCCTGAATATCCACTTCATAACTTTGATCATGTGTGATCTCTGACAATGTCGAAGAAAAGGAAAAGGACACAATTAATGGTAGGATGTGATGACCAAATAAAAACAAATCAGTGTACTTCTGCTCCTGGAAAGTGCCAGGCGCTTAAGATTTTGGCTTTCGCTACGAAATGTAATTTCTTTTGAACCCAAAATAGCCCCAGAACCCAAGCGTGATCTTTCCCTCCCTGCCCGCCGCGCGTCCTCAGAGTCCGAGAACCAAGAGATCAACCCGCGGCGCCCCGCCCCCCGCCTGCAGTCCCGCGGAGGGCCGCGCGGGGGCAGCACCGCGGCCTCGCCGCGGGCCCTTCGCTGACGTTGCGGGATTGGGGGATTTTCCGCCCTGGGTTCCCTTGTTCTCTGGCCCGGCGGCCCATTGTTGTTCCTGGAGGGGTGTGGAGGGATCCGCTTCCGCCCTCAGGCTCCTCGGGGGGTGGCCCCGATTCTCACGGCGGAGCGGTGAGAGGGGCCGTGTTTGGGGACAAACTTTTGAAGGGGACTTTAAATGGCACGAAACTGGCGTCGCCTGCAAGGAGACGCATCCGAGGGGCCGTTCCCGGGGCTTCGGACCGCCCGCCGCGACCCCAAAGGCTGGGACCTGGGAGGGCGGGCTCCGGGGGACGAGCCCCGCGACCCACGGCCACTCTGGGTTACCCTGTACGCCCTCCCCTCTCTCCAGGGCTCTGCACGCCTGCCGCCACTGCCTCCTGCCTTTGCCCCGACTCTCCCCTTTGCCCGGTGTCCTGCAGCGTGTACCGGCCTAAGGCCTCCTCCTCCAGGGAGCCTTCCGCCTTCCATCCCACCGACGGCTGTTCGTGCCAGGGGCTGGCCGCACGCAGGCCCGCGGGGTGCCGGTTCTTCCCACCCAGCCCCGTACCGCGGCCTGCCGAGTGTTTCCCCAGGGCCGCGCCTCGCGGGTGGAAGGACTCAGGCTTGAGGAGGCCACGGGGGCATCTGCTGCCGCACCTCCACCTGAACTTTTAGCGGGTCATATCTGCCAGGGAGGGGCGGAGGGGCGTCCCAAGCAGCGGTCTCGGATCCCCTCTGGGGACCAGAACCCTGAGTGGGCAGGGGCTGGAGGGCAGAGCCCAGCTGCCTAAAGCTGGGCTGCGAACGTGCCTCTGGGCCGTGGGCCTGCCCCTCACCTCCTACTGGTCCCTGTCGCTGTGGTCTCTCCTACTGGATTCCAAGTCCCCCTTAAATCCTTCTGGCAGGAAGGTGGAAGTATAAATTAATGAGAATCTCAGCAATTCCCATGGAAACAGGATGGCCCTGATCCTCCACCTGCACCGAGAGTTGAGGTTTGTGACATGTTGCAGCCTATGGGGCACACTAGGGTGGCCCTTCTGCAGCCCCTCCCTGCTGGCCTGGGTGACTCCCCTTGGAGCTCTGGCCTCTGGCTGGGCTCCCCCACCTCGTCCAGGGGCCTCCTGTGGACAGCGCCCTGAGGGGGTGGGACGGCTAGGGCCTGCCTGCCTGCTGCCGGGGGACATCTCCAGCAGTGGAGGCCTGTTCTGGGCCTCCCTCCCCACCAGGGCCGCAGTGGGTGCTCTGAAGCCCATCCTCCTTCCAGGGCTTGTCTGTGCTGATGGTTGACAACACAGTGCCTGAACCAGGTCTGGGCAGGTTCTGCCAGCCTGTTGAGGTGTGCAGGGGCATAGTGTTAACCTGAGGGCACGGCCTCATTCTTTACTTGGAACTTCTGGAGGGACACGCCTTTAAAAATTCCAGGGCAGAGTCGGGGTAGCAAAGCCTGTGTGGAAGGAGTGGTGAGCTAGGGGGTATCTGTATGGAGCCCAGCTCCCAGTGGGACCTCATCCCGGATTCATGTTCTCTCCCTGCCCTCAAGGGAGCCAGCCCAGCTGGGGGTCAGGGGAACTACCAGATTGGGCAGCAGGGGCACGTGGGAGAGGAGCCTGGTGGGAATATTCCCTGGGGGGTCAGTGGCCCTCATGAGGGTGACATGGGGGGGACTGCAGTGACCCAGAGCCTGGGCACCAGCAGCCTCTGCCCCTGCCCCACCTGGGCTCCCTGTGGCCCCCTGGGGCCGGGGCACGAGCGGGGAAGGAGTGTCTGCGCAGGGGTCTGGACGCCCTGCAGAGCTGGGGTTCAGCCCCTTGGGTGGCCCCCACACTGTTAGGTGTGATCAGCTCCTGCCCCTTTCTCTGCTTACTGCCCTCCGATGTCCCTCTGAGTCAGCCTGCCCCTCACACCCACTTCTCTGTAAACCTCCGCCCCTGCGGCCACCCTTCCTGGAAGATAGGGGCTTGCCCACCACCCTTATCTGGTCCAGCGCTTCTTAACTCAGTTCATCTTGACTGTTATGGAAGATCCACCCTCCTGCTAGGTTAAAGGCAGCACGAGGAGTCAGCTGATCTTTCTGACGGAAGCTGCTCCGCTGGACAGGGCTGCAGGGGCTTTAATGGGGTCTGGGCCCTGGGTGGTGTGCAGAGGTGGGGGATCTGGTGGCTCTATGGAGAGGGTCTGGGTTTCAGAGCGGGTCCCAGTGCCAGCAGCCTCGGGGCTGCCTTTCGTCTGACCTGCATACACCAGTGGTGCTGTGGGGAGGGGTCACCTGTCCTGGCCACCAGTCTTTGGGAGGCACCGCCCTGTGTCCCCCAGTGCCAGCCGCTGTGACCCTGGATGGCCACGGCACTGTCTCCTGGCCCTGCATGACCACCTTTCTTTTTGCTCCAAATTGGAGCATTCTTGCCATTCATTGCTGTCCTTTCCCCCTGTTTTTGCTGCCCTCCTTTAAAGAGGAGACATAAGCCCAGAGGGGTTCTGGGAAGCCAGCAGGAGGAGGGGGCACCCTTCTCTAGGCCCCCATCAGAAGGATGGTGGGTATGCAGGGAGGCTGGCCTGTGGCCACAGTGTCAGCGTCAGCCCCACAGCTACCAGAGTCAGGGGGCATGCTGTGAGCTGGGGGAACCGGGGTGTCCACCGGGCTGAAGGCCTGGGCTGGTGACAGCGCCCTGCCGAGGCTGCAGCTGGACCAGTAGGCAGGCAGGAGGCATGCTTCTGGCACAGGGTAGGCTAGCTCCCTTTGGGAGCAGGGATGGTGAACAAAGGTCAGAGCCCCACGCCGAGTCTGCGCCCAGGCCCAGGGAGCCGGCTGCAGGAGGAGGCGGGGGGTGATGGGGCCTGGGCTGTGCCCAGGGGAGGCGGTCTGGGGGCGCGGCCTGCCCTGCCCCTCTGTGTCCCAGACTGCAGTGGGGCCTCCTGTTCATGGGTGACTCCTCACTTTGGCTTTTGTGTTAACAGGGCCTGGACGCTCCCAGCCCTGCTCAGGCTAGTCCCCTGAGGCTCACCCTGGCGGGGGCACAGGGAAGAGGGTCAGCCTAGCCAGACCAAACTAAGTCAAGGGGGGCTATCGGGAG